ATTATAACGTCCCCACGGGTAAAAGGGCGAGCATGTTTGGTGGGACGGGGATTCGAAAATCCGCGACTCTCAGATTGCGAGTCGAGCGCCCTAACCACCTGGCCATGTCGGGCCGATATATATATATACCTAAGTATGAATATTACTGACTTTTACTGGAGATTAATACTTTTGGTTCCCACTCAGTAAGTCATATTATGATGTCATTGCAGAATTCATAATATTTTGCATTGCAACATTGTGTACCTGTGCGTGCTACCTTAAAATGAAATATTATTTCATATTTTACATAAACAAAGACGTATTAAATGAAATTATAAAATAAATGAAGCTGTGAAATTTTGTTTTCAACCACCATGTTAGATGAGATAAACTGTTACGTCACATGTTAAAATTCTTCACATTGGATTGCACAGTTTTGATACATATTAAACTTTCTGAATGATAAAATTCAAAGAATTAAAACATATGACCTAATACTCACGCACTAAGTAATTTTAACGTGCATAACTTAATCTTCTAAGTGTATTATAGAAAATCAAAACAGAGAAACAAACTAGTTAGAGTCAGTATGTTTCAAGCTATTTATTTTGAGGGCACAGTTTGTTTGTTTGTTCTTAAGCACAAAGCTACACAATGAGCAATCGCTGCTGTGCCCACGGGTATCGAAACCCTGTTTGTAGAGTTATAAACCATCAGAATTAACGCTAAGCCACTAGGGGGCATTGAGAGCACAGAGAAAAAATATTTCGATAAAATACAGCACTGGCTTTGTTTGTAACGTTGGCAACTCACGTAGATTCAATATACTATGCCTGCTTAACAAATCTGCCGAAACGATGCGAAACTTAAAGTGTGAATTATGAGGCAGAAGAAATCTTCGACTGCGTCTGCAGATTGGGATTAAAAGGACAGAAACTTCGAGTTAAGTGCAATTGAAAGTACTTTACCTTCACTATAACTGTACACAAAAAGACAGTGAACAACAACATTAAAAGTATGTGAAATAATTTATCACAAAACAAGAAAAACACTATTGGGATGTGAAAGATTTAGGACTTTATTATAAATGCAATAAAATTTCAAATATAAGACACTATTATATCTCTCAAAACAAGAATGACAAGTAGAAACATTTATAGCAGTAAAAATAGTTGTGTAGCACTATTAGTTTCAATTAGTTCCGGTTTGGGTTTATCTAGTAAAATACCCTTTTTAAATTTTTAACTGTAATACATCATTAGTGTTCTCACTAATTTCAAAATAATTCTGGTGATTCATCACATTAATTTAATCCATGTTGTTTAATACTTGACTGCTTTATCGATCTTAAATCACCGTGTTCCCTAATTCTGGATTTTAAAGCTCGAATTGTATAACCTGCACATCTGAAGTTACTTCTATATCGATAAATAATCTTAGAATTCATCAGTTTTGGTATTTTATCTTTCACATCGAAGAAGAAATATTTAATTCTACACACATGTTTCAATATAAACATTAACCTAACATGTGGATGTGTCCTTCTAAGTATTCAATCAAGTTTTTGTTTCAAAACTTGTGTTCCTATAAATGGCAAAGAAATAAACACATTGTTTGTCCAAATAATCCTTCATAATTTTATGTATAATTTTACGTGGAACCTAATTTTTTTTATCAAGAATTTTTTGACGTTATTAAGTTCTTTTATTTAACCAGTAAAGTTGCTATTTATCTCATAAGCTGTATCTTAATTATCACATAAATATAAGCCTATAAAAGTATTTTTATGGTATTTTTCACTTTTATAAATCCCATTTGTATTTCTACCCAATACATCTACAAATAGTAGTTTATATTCTTCTTTATTTTACTGTAAATCTTACGTTTTTATGTTTACTGTTTAAATAACCTAAAAAATCGTTTAATACGTTTTTGCTCTTGTCATCATGTTTTTTATAATAGGTTTAAATTTTTCCTAGCACTTATTCATCCAACATTTTTCATGATAATAAAATAACATATTAGCCAGTATTAATGCTTATCTACATTACATAACAGTTCTGTTTATGTGATTATATATCTTTTGGTTAAACACTAAATGCATTTGTTTTGTTGCTGAGTCCAGTAACCTTTCAAAACATTCTTTAAATAATATATTTTTGTTTTACTTATTAAAAGAAAGATTAACAACTAAATCAAATGTTTCATCGAATATTATATTTATGAATAACGATTCAGTATCGAAGCTAAAACAATAAAAACACTATTTTCAAAATTTATTTTTTTATTTCTTTTCAATAATGGCTGAAATGTTAAATTTATTAATATTTAATGACTTAATATATTTCATAAAAAACATTTTCAACTCATGATTATATGTACCATTGTTAAAATAATTGGTCTTACTATTTGTGTTTATTATCAAATATTAACTTTTGTTTCGTTAAATTTTACACATGTTTTATAAATTGTTTTTTTTATTTTCGTAGGATATTTCTCTAATTTCTTAGATTTGATATAATATTTTAAAATTTCTTGAATTTTATTAAGATACTCTGTTTTGTTCAATAGTATATTTACCTTTCTGTCTAGTTTCGTTATAATTACATCTTTAGCTCTTTTTAACTGTTAAAGTGCCTCTAGTTTTTCCAGACTTTTGTTACTGGTTCTTGTAACGTATTGGAATTTCAAATGATCTGACATTGAGTTAAATGATAATTTGAATTTAGTAGTTAAATTGTACTTTGGATTCAGTGTTTAAATATAAGCCGATATATTAGTCAATTTACGATATTTGCCAACAAGATTGATACACACCGTTTTCGTTTTTAACACAAATACGTTTTAATATACACAGAACAATACAATTTACAATAACAATTATTACAAACAATGATTTATAAAGAGAAGTTTCACAAACTTACAAACAATGATTTATAAACAGAATTTATAAACCTCCTTGATATCTTATCGAGGGTTCACGATGAGCGAGTTAATTACGAGTTGATGTAGGTACGATTCGCCGGGAAGCTAGCTAGCATTGTTCTTTGCCACCCACGCTGAATTTTTGATCAGTTGAAGTTAGGTAATGTTTTCGTAAAAATGCTAATGTCCGATGAGAAGCCACTGAATTTAAACGATTTGTAATGTTCAAAATTTATTAATATTCCTGGTCAAGTGTCTTAAGTTTTCCGATTGATAAGCGTTATAAAAATCACAGTTACAGCTTTCGAAGCTTTAGCACACTGATTATAGTGAACTACTAATAGACACACCCTTCGACGCGTCGCGTTGGTTATATTTATAGGCGTGGGAAGGTTTTCTAGAAAATTCAGTCTTACGTAACAATACTGATTAAAGCGTTT